CCAATTGCAAAACCCATGCGGCCCTTGCAATGCATGCATTTCCTAAAAACTATGCTTGCAACATGCATGCCTTCCTTGCGGTGTGGTTCTTCCGACAACCTAAGCCCTTTCAAGGTCTTCCAACATGACTCTTGGGCTGGAAGTCCTTCATATTCCACAGGATTCCTTGGAAGGGATTTCGGTCTTTCCTCGGTTTTCCCCAAATCCTTCATTATCCAGAAGTCTGGAGACGGAGAGATAAAGAAACAAGAGACGGCGAGATAAAGGTGCACAGGAAACGATGTTATGGGAGGAATGGAGACGATTATCGTTTCGTTCCCTTTGTCGATACGGGAAGCTTAGTCCTGAATAAACCAATACTCCATTTCCAAACGTCAGTCCAGTTCGGCAAATGTGTGGATGTCCAATATGGATGGCATAACACTTCTTTCGTCCATATTGATTCAATGATTCATCAATGGATTGGAAAAAGGGACCCTTCCCCTGTCCGTCTCACCTGTCCGTCTCTCATCGGCTCAGGTTTTGGGGTTCCTGTTGAGCCCCCAAAAGCGGGGACGGTCCTGGGGCATCCCAAGGGACCGATGTCGATGGACCATCTGGCGGAAGCCTTGGCAAAGGACGACTCCGGATCCAGTCGGAAGAAGGGTCACTCTGGACAAAGGAAATGAAGTAGTCAATGTCATGGTATGGTTAGATTCTGAGTGCTTAGAGAAAGGGGATGCTGGGATAGATTCAGAGAGCCCATAGGAGGATAGAAGTGGCCTGGAGAGAGTTGTTTTGGAATCTCCTGGCAGTTCCCACGAGACTGGAGAAAGCAATATCAGTTCCCATGAGAGTCTGCCAGAAGTGCCGGCTGAGAGAAATGTGGCAAGCAAATGTTTGTCTAGGTTCCTTCTTTGGAGGCTTTTAAACAGAGGCTGGATGGCTATCTGTTGGGGGTGCTTTGAATGATTTTCCTGCTTCTTGGCAGGTCTCTTCCAACTCTATGATTCTACGATTCAAGGTACTTGGAGTTGTGGAGACAGGGCATGCAACAAAGACAAACTCACTTTTTCCAGAGGCTTAGAGATAAGGAAAGGAAAAGCAGGTGCATGGAAAATGATGTTATGGGAGGGGTAGAGGCCTTTTCCCAGAGGCTTAGAGATAAGGAAAGGAAAAGCAGGTGCATGAGAAACGATGTTATGGGAGGGGTAGAGGCCTTTTCCCAGAGGCTTAGAGATGAGGAAAGGAAAAGCAGGTTCATGAGAAACGATGTTATGGGAGGGATAGAGGCCTTTTCCCAGAGGCTTAGAGATAAGGAAAGGAAAAGCAGGTGCATGGGAAATGATGTAATGGGAGGAATAGAGGCCTTTTCCCAGAGGCTTAGAGATAAGGAAAGGGAAGGCAGGTGCATGGAAAACGATGTTATGGGAGGGATAGAGGTCTTTTAAAGTGGTTCCTGCTGGTACAATCCTTTGTGAGAGCAACATCGTCTTTAGGTGAACAACTCTCAGTTTTTGGTCCTATGTTCTTGGAATTAATGTATTCAAGTTTCTAAGCCAGCAAGGTTTAATAATAATAATAATAATAATAATAATAATAATAATAATAATAATAATAATAATTTGTAACCTGCCAACAAGGTTGAATAACAACAACAACAATATTATTTTAACCCGCCTGCAAGGTTTAATAATAATAATAATAATAATAATAATAATAATAATAATAATAATAATAATATCCTATTTGTTCCTTGCCTCATGGCTTGAAGAAGGATACATCACTGTCAATATACATCCAAAATTCATTCTGCATCCGCAATGTAGAATGACTGCGGTTTGATACTGGGAATCCTGGGAGTTGTAGTTTCACAAGGTCTTCTCGACCAAAGATGCTCCCACTCCCAGGATTCCATAGCATGGCGCCATGGCATTTCAAGCCATGTCAATCTATCTGTGTAGATGTGCTCTTAGTGAAACTACAACTCGCAGGATTTCACAGCATTGAGCCAGCTGTGGCTAGGGTTTAACTCACCTGATAGTCTGGGTTGGGCAAAGGCATCTCCTTCTGCCGCGGAAGATTCGTCCGAGGGGGAACTGGAGGTAATTCGAACCCAGGATCAGGGCAGGTGGCAGAAACGGTGTTTGCGGCTATCTGGAAGGAGAAAGACCTGAGTTCATCTAATCCAGATCAAGTCGTCCCACTCTTCCCTTTCTGATGAAGTCCTGGCCAAAGATTGATCTCTTTGCTAATTTCATTCTCAAAGGAAGCGATGACTTTCCTGCAATGGGAACTTTCTCCCCCTTGCAAGAAAGTCTTTCTTTGGGAACGTTTGCTGCAGAAAATGTGCAATTCAGGTCATATTCTGCAGAAAATTTGCGTGGTGGGTTTTTCCTCCAAAAACTGCATTTTATTTCCAGAAAAT